TCGAGAGCGAGGAAGCCATGGTCCGTCTAGCGATGCCCTCCCTCCTGGACGTCCTGGCCAACCCTGAGGACGAGCTCAGCATGCTCACCGCGCAGCGCTACATCAGCGAGGCTATCGTTACAAGCCCCTATAAGGAGTTCATCGCAAAGGAGTACTGTCGTAGAACCTTCTCAGTTTGCCTCGACCAAGTGACCAAGGAAAGCGCGCCATTGAAGTATCTCCTCTGTGAGCTCTGGCTGGCCTTCGTTCGAGAGACCGGAGCCAGCAACTGCCGGGATGCAGTGGAGTCTCTCCTTTTCATGTTTGCCAAGTCCGCTGAGTCCGACGATGAGGCCAAAGCTGTCGGGGTTCAGCAGCTCCTGCTGGCGAGTGGCAGAGGCAGCTTTGAGTTCTACGATGAGATTGCGAGACGGGCTATTGTACCAGCGATGAGTTCACCACAAGTCATCATAGCCAACAAGCATGCGGTGGTAGACTTCTGTATCAAGTTCCTCAGTGAGGGAACCATATGCGATGAAGGTCTCGCTGAGCAGGCGGCTGAGTGTTTGCTCAAACTTCAAGATAAGGACATCCAACCGGCGCTAGCAGCAGTGGTCCCAGCATGTGGCGCGGACTCCCCCGTAGCGAGCAAGGCCATGAACGTGGCTATTGCTCGTGGCTGGGCGAGTGTTGTTAAGAAGGTCTATCCTCGACATCCTCACATCACACTGAATGAGGTCGTCCCTGCCCTGCGGCAACAAGCTCCTCATTCGAGTGCCTTGGCCTGTGCCGTGGTGGCACAAATCTTCGCTGATCATCCGGCTGAGGCCAAGTCCCTACTGAGCACAATCAGTGTGTCTGAAATAGCGAAGTCGCCGGAGTGGTCAGAAGATGCTTACGACTTCTTAATGGATAGTCTACCTGAGGTGGCGACTTGGCCATGGCCTCTCATCGTGGCTAGTCCCATTAACGAAGGCTCCTTGGCTTCTCTTGCATGTATGCTGTCGATTGGAAATCAATCTTTGTGCCAGAAGGTGGTCGCCCTGGTCGAATCCAATCCTCGAAAATTCGCCGGCTTGCTTGCTGGTCTCCCTCGAGATGAGCTCGGTAAATGCCCCGTGTCTAACTGGTCTGCGCTGTTCGAGTCTGTGGTGATTGATCCGCCAGCCGCCCTCAACGTGCTGGAGGTGTGCCCCGATGATGCATTTGATGCCTGCTTATCAGGATCTCTGACGAAGGATGCTGATCCTGCTATTTGGGCAACTGTTATGAAGGTCGGGGTAGACCGCGAGCCGTCCAGGGCGATAGAGCTAGGGAAGTCTTCAATGACAATATCGGGCTTGAAGCAACTCCTCCACAGTAGCGTGACCGAACTGGATACTCCCAAAAAGGAAGCAATAGTCGCCGG